TTGTTGTGGGGGGGGGGGGGGGGGGGGGGGAGGATAAATTATAATTGATTGATATGATCAATAACAAAATATTATGATATCTCACAGTCGCAAATCCTTTCTCAAACTATGGATACAGTTTAAGCCGTAACAGTTATAAATTATAAATTCAGACGTTCTGTATTTAAAATTTAATAATCTCTTAACCAAGAGAAATTTTTGTCCGTGGTCCTAGCGTGGTTGTTAAGATACACGTAAAATTGATTCGAACACTTTTATCGTTAAATAAAAAATCCTATGGATACATATTTTATTGTTTTCATATCAATTTACAATATAATGACTTCTCACATCAACTTTTAATTTTCCATCATTTAGAAAAGTTAATGGGTAATATATTACCCCTTTTGTGTCATTGGAGGTAATCTAGAGTTGTCAATGTTCGACATGACATGTTAATACGATGTGTATTAAATACGTAATTAATGGGTCAGACACAAAATTAAACAAGTTAATGGGTTAAAATTGATCAACACAAAAAAAATTATGTCGAATTCATGTCAAAATCAAGTCAACATAATTTTGATCTGATTAAACTGTATATTTTAAACGGGTTGGTATGAGTTGGGCATGAACCCGACCTAACCTATTGTAGACCTGTTTAATTCGTTTATGACATTATAGCTTGACTTTTATGTATGACTAATATGGTATTATTATTTTTACTTAATAATTCTTGTTTTTACTATGATAATTGATAGTATAGTTCTTAACATTATTATATCAGTATACTAATATAATTCTTACTTTAATTTTTGGGTTGAAAATTAAATGTATTTTAGTTAATTTCTTTGATGAGATGTGATATATTATTTGTAAAAAAATTATTTGAAACTTTATATGAATTATTGAATGATATATTTAATGGTAATGAACTGGTGTGAAAACAAGTTATGTGTATTAAACAAGTCTATGTTATGTGTGTCAAATAAGTTAAACAGATCATGTTATCTACATTAATTCGAAAACGACATATTTATTAAACTTGTCAAATTAATCGAGTTTGAATAACTCGCTTAATAGTCATGTCAAGTTAATGTTTACGTATCTTCACACGATTATTAAACATGTCAAATTTATATTTTTAGATTTTCGGCAAAAATTTGAAATTAACACGACACAAAATTTGATACCCCTAAGGTAACCCAAGTCTGGATTGGGCTTTGATAGTTTGCATCTACTATTGGTGATAAGAACGATTCAAGGCGTAGCTAGCACATTTAATATGAGAGAGAAATTAATTATGATTGGATTAAGCCTTTTGCTCTGGAAGAGAGATTTTTCTGCTTTCATTTTCGTGGGCCATTGTCTATGAAAAATTCAGAACAAGTGGGCAGCCGCCATAACTTCATGAACGTACGATACAACCTTTTGATTTTTCTGGCGCCGAAAAATCAATGTCAATCATTAATGCATCCAGCAAGAACAACGAGAAAATAGGAGTAGTCGGTTAGCTGTTGCAGTCGATTCAGTAGAAGACAGTGAAATGATTTGTCAAACAATACATCCTGATTATTAGTAATTATATTAAAATATACTATAATATTGTTATTATAATGAAAAAAATATTTACAATTTCAGTAAATAAAAATAATAAAATTGTGAATTTATTGAATAATTTTGTTTACAATATTTGTGAAAATAATTACAGATGGGTGAGGAACTGTTACCAGTCTTTATCAACAATTTTGACAATTGATGATAAAATTACAACATCACTTAAATCATTATTCATCAGGTAAAAAGCCGAATTATCATATTTGTGAATAAGGATAAAAAAGTTGTGAGTGTTTTTACAAGGCCAGAAGAACATTTGTTAGTACATACTTTTACCACCGTAACGATTATATTTGTATACATGAGAAAATCGACGTTGTGGGTAAGTTTATGACCCATAAGGCATGTACCCGTTTGTGGATGAACTTACAAGTAGAGACAAGTATTTACTACTAAGTAGGTAAGTTTATGACCCTTAAGGGTACGTTTATAAGGCAGGTGGGGTAAATTAAAATATATGAGGAAGGATTTACCACTAAAGGGGATAATTTTAAAATGGTTAAGATACAATTGACTAAAGTTCAAGGATTTGCTCTGATGTTTTTGGATAAGTTTATGAGATCCATACAATAATTTTAGTTTTAGGTTGATTAATTTTATCAAAAAAATAATAAATATTACGAAGGTATAGGTATATATATTACATCTATGGAAGTCATTATAATAGTTTTTACTACGAATGGGGTGAAATGGGATATTCGTCGTTTACAAAAAAAAAATGGTTAGATTTCATTTAAGAAAAAAAAATTGTTGTCATTTAATCAAATTTGTACGAAATTTGTGAATAATTTACAATTACTCTAAAAAAAAATATACCAGTTTTGTGGATAAAATTACAAGTAGAGAGAAGTATTTACTAGTTCTATGGTACAGTTTACGATATTTGTGGGTAAATTTATGACATTTCAAGTTACATTTACGAGACAAATAGGTTAATGAAAACATATGAGGAAGGTTTTACCACAAAAGTGGATAACTTAAAGATGGTAAAGGTTACAAGTTCGTACGAAAATTGTATTTCTAGGTTGGTTAATATTACGATAAAAGTGGTTAATACTGAGAACGTATAAGTAAATATATATAACATTATGGGAGTCATTATAGGTAGTTTTTACTACAAATGTGATAAAAGGGATATTCATAGATTTGCCACCATAATGTTTAGATTTCATAAAGGAATAGAAAATTTACGTCACTTAATGAAATGTTTACAACATTTATGAATAATTCACAAGTATTTGAATATAATTTACCAGTTTCGTGGATAAGTTTACAAGTATTAAGGAGTATTTAATACTTATATGGTATATTTTACGACGTTGGTAGGTATCGTAAGACCCTTAAGGGTTCGTATATGAGACAGTTCGGTGGGGTAAATTAAAACATATGAGGAAGAATTTACCAGAAAAGAACATAAAGTTATGATGCTTAAGGTATACTTTACTGGAGTTCAAGGTTTTGTTTTTGTTTTTTGGATTAGTTTACAACTTCTATGGTAAATATATCACATGTATGAGAGTCATTATAATAAGTTTTAATACGAATGTGGTGAAAAGGGATATTCATAGATTTACCACCACCATGGTTAGATTCATATACCAAAGAAAAATACAAGTCACTAATGAAAATTATTACGTTATTTGTGGATAAGTTACAAGTAGTTCAGTAAAATTTATCAATTGTGTGATCCAAAATACCAAATTTGTTAATGAATTTACAAGTGGGTAGGAGTATTTACTACCTGTATGGTATATGTTATAATATTTGTGGATACTTTTATGAGTGTTAAGGATATAATTACGAGATGGGTTGGATACATTAAAACATTGGTGAAGGATTTACGACTCAAATGCATATATTTACGTGGTTTAACAAACATTTTACTAGAGTTGAAGATTTTGTTTGGATTGTTTTGGATAATGTTACGAGTTCCGTTGATACATTTTAGTTTTAGGTTGGTTAAGTTTACGACAAAAGTGGTTAATATTACAATCTTATAGGTAAATATATAACATATGTGGTATTCATTATCATGGGTTTTACTATGAATGTGGTGAAATATAAATTCATTGATGTATCACTATAATAGATAGATTTCATATAGTAAAGGAAAATCTAAGTAAGTTAATGAAATTTATACTTCTTTATTGAACAAGTTACAAGTTGTTGAGGAAGATTTACCATTATTTTGGTCTCAGATATCAAATTTCTAAACTATGTTACAAGTACAGAGGAGTATTTACTACATGTATGGTATATTTTACAAGATTTGTAGGTGATTTTATGAACTGT